AATTACCTTTTTTTGTAGGTAATTTTCCTTATTTCCCCCCTTTTCAGCTCTGAGTCTTTTTATTTCAAGAAATGCTTGATATCTTGGAGAACACCTTCAGCCATCAGGCAAATTTCAATCAAATATCCTGATAGCCTAATTGATATATCAACGTTAATTCAATTTTCAAATTCAACTTAATTTCAACATTGATTCAACATTGAGGTATCAATGTTGATTCAACATGGATACCTCAAGGTTGATTCAACCTTGATGGTTCAACGTTGATTCAACTTTCATAGTCAATGTCATATCAACATAGTTTCAACGTTGACTGTCAACATTGATTCAACATTGATACCTCAAAGTTAATTCAACCTTGATGGTTCAACGTTGATTCAACTTTCATAGTCAACGTTATATCAACATAGTTTCAACATTGACCAGCAACGTTGATTCAACATTGATACCTCAAGGTTGATTCAACCTTGATGGTTCAACATTGAGTCAACTTTCATAGTCAATGTCATATCAACATACTTTCAACGTTGACCATCAACGTTGATTCAACATTGATTCAATGTTGATTTGCCCGCTGGGAAAAAGGTCACACTTAAATTGCCAGTATGACTTCCTATTCAAGTTCAAAAGTAACCAAGGGCATATAGACTGTCAGTTTTGAAGATGTGACGGACAAAAATAAGCAAGCGAGTTAACTTCCAAAGCTGTAATTAATTCTCGACTGTGCTCACTGGTGATTCTGGCACCTTGACGCATGAGCAGTAGTATCTCTAAACTGTGGAGTTCATCAGGGTGCACTCATATCTGTCGTGTGTATATGGACCTCATCTTCTTCATCTTCTTGTTGCACAAAAGCAACAAACACATTTTTCCAAGCAACAATGACTGCCATTTCCTTCTCTCTAGCTTATTACTGCGCATGTGTTGAGGTGTCAGAATCTCCTCTGAGCGCAGCCTAGAATTAATTACAGCTTTAATTTGAAGTTACTCACTCGCTCTGCTAGTTAATTACGCCGCCGGGTATTCTGGGTTCAGACCGTGATCACTGGATACCGCCAATGGATTTTTGTATTTTAAGAATTTAGATTTTTCATGTGAACGGTGCCTGAAGGTCAATTTCAAGGTCACAGTTAGATTGCCAGTGTATGAATTCAATAGTTACTATGGGCATATCTGTCAGTTGGAGATATAAGGGACTAAAATATTGCAGTTTTGGAGTTAAAGCAACGTGCCATAAATTTTGTACAGAAGAAATTAATTGAAATAGAGAAAAGATCATTTTGTTTGATATTCATGAAATGTGATCAGAAATCTCAGATGTTTGAATTTCTTGAAATAATGTCATTTTTGACCAGAAGTTGCCTGCCTCGCTATGCCTTATATTATCTTGTCCAGACGTTTGAAATTTTATGCACATTACCGTACAATGTACTTTTTGATACAGCATAACTGGTAAACCATATGGAAAAAAAAAAAAAAAAAAAAAAAAACAGACACCACTATCAGTGTTTGGCTTGACATGCTCTATCAAATGGTTCTAGCATTAACAGTTCCAGAAATAGAGTTTTCAGTTTCGGCATCTAATGGCTGCTGCTCTCGAGAAAATGCACCGATTGACCCCAAACTCACGGAGATGAAAGACGACCCTTATCGTAACACTTGCCAATAATATTATAGGTGAGGTCTGTGTAGTTTCTGAAAATCGGCGCAAATAATTTTTTTGAAAAAATTCCATTTTTAGATAATTTTGGCCCGTTTGACCTTGAAATAAAGGTCAAAGGTCAAATCCAAGGGCAATTTGGAATCTCCCCATATTACTTTAATTAAGTCAGACTGCTATAGAAATTTTTCCCATAATTATTTCGGTGTGCTAGAAATTTAGCATATAGTGCATTTTGCAAATTTTGGACAAGGGTGCATTGCGACAAGCTCTATACCAAGACCCATGCACTGACAAAGCCCAAAATTTACACAGATCGAGCTGAGATTATATGTGACCTAAATCCAAGAGATGGGTACGCAGGTTCTTGTAGTCTAGGACGAGAAGTGGTAACAGTAACATGGCTGTTCCTTATACGAATCAAATAAATTCGAAATGACTGAATAAATCTCGATCAGCCATAAAATAGCTTTAGACTGCCCCTTTCTTTAAATTTGTGTCAGAAATTTAACCAATACTTATGTGACCTACTTTTCTGGCCCATGTATATACAGCATAGAAAGCTAGCAAAGAAATCCATTCCTATATCATTTTTGGGTAACATTAAACAATATCATATCTTTTGGTAATTCTCTTAGTTATACTATTTGAATTTACATGCCGGCATGTGGCAAAACATTGACTATTTGTGTGCATCTTTAAAGTTAAACAAAAATACGACAGTTTGGCAGTTATGGGGCAAACATCACCAAAGTTGTGCAAAGAACCTGAATAATTACCACAAATGTAAACCAATCATGCCAGTTTTCGTATGCAACCTGCCTCTTTACCAAACAAATTTAAAGTCACTCAATATAGTCTTGAGAGATTCATTTATTTCATCTGTCATAGTGATGATTTCACTATGTGAATTGTGAAAACTATGTGAATTGTGAATTGTGAAACTTCCACATTTAAATAAAATTTTATATCAATGTTTTGTAAAGATAATTTGTTATAATGACATTATGTGTATTGAATCTTTTAAGGTATTGTATTTATTGGAAAGAACTGTAACCAATTCTTAGAGTGCATTCCCAGTGATTTACGTGTAGATTGATTCAACTAGATCGACCTTACTCCCTGAGGATTCACGCTAAATTGCTGTCAGTCGACCGCGCACGGAAGTTAATTACCCCCTTACAGCTTTTAGTAGGCGGGACAGACATTTAAGCTGGCTAAGCTGACAGTTATCTAGTGAGACTCCCCACGGGGATAGATCGATGTAAAATATGTGGGAATGGGGTCTTAAAGGAATTTTTTAGGTCTTAAAAGGATTGAATAACTTCATTTATGGCTTTTTCTCCTAGTTCAGGTCAGTCTTAGTTTAATTATGTTTAAGGTCTCTCTGTAGTTATATGTCTGAATTCTTTTAATTGGCTTCAGTATCTCTGACTTAATTTCTTTAGGAATCACTGTACATATGTATTTTGTGTATAAGTATATATAGAGAAGAACTTTGTATTGTAATCAGAGATCAGAGATTAGAGATATGATATCATCAGAGTAAGTTTGGTCAGTCGAACCGACAGCTGGATTTTCCGTGTTGTCAGCCAGAGAAATAAATGTAGAACTTGGTCAGTTAGTAGTTGATCTCTGGAAAATATAGCTTAGCTGTTGTGTTACCTGCTGGAGAATTAACTCAGACCAAGTGTCCCCTGTGATACATCTAAAACAGGGCATGGCAAAAGATGTTAAAATACCTGTATGTGCAGAAATGTTCAACTGCTCTTTGCTGCTGTCATCCTCAGTTCTATTGTTTGACCACTAGGTAGAGTTGTGGTCAAAATGATGTCATACACTGGACAAAGTCTGTCCCCCCCACCTTCACATACAGGCATTTTAACATCTTTTTCCTTGTTGTGTTTGGAACTTATTGGGCCAATGACACCAAAATTGTGCAAAAGAGTGATATAAATTTAAATGGCATTGTCTTAGAAAGTCGTGGATGTTGGATCTTAATTACAATAATAGCTATGGTATCATCATTATCAAAGGTTGCCTTCTCTTCAGAAAATTGAACATGACGTTGAAAGCAACCGGACTATTTACCAAAAAAAAAAGCCACCAAGAAAATTTAAAGTAAAAAAAATGGTTTGGAAGTAATTAGACAAACGTCATGTGTCGGACAGCAACAATGACAGCATAGACAGACAGACAGACAGACCAATCAGAATATATACATGTAGGCAATTACAGTGTCTGTATATAAAAACTTAAGCAAAACAAATTTGGTAAATTTAGATTTTTGTCTTACTATGTGCTATATTCTTTTGAACCAACAAAGTGCTTTGTTACATGTGTAAAATTGTTGAGCATAACTCTGTACATATATAACAACTGGCAAAAAATAGTATATCATTTCTAAAGTTAGCACATGTCTATACTTGCTGTGTGTACCTGTGAGTGTCTGTGTGCTGCAAGTACATTGTCAATTAACAGATTGCTAGTCATACCTGTCATGTGAAAGACAGACTTGAACCCCAAACCAAATTTTCCAACTTTTAGTGGATCATCTTTCTTGCTACTATTGTGGATGGCTCCTATTCTGTCCCAGTCAGCATCACCAAAAACGGCATCATTGTAGGCATACAGAGCTGGACCCTGAGATATAAGTAAATAGAACAATTCAAAAGACAAAAATACATTAAATTAGAATGTTTTATAAATAATTTTAGTACCACAGAAGGTTGGGTTCCTGATGGGGGGGGGGAGCGGGGGAGGAGCGTTAATTTATTCCTTTTACATTGTAATTTCTGCTATCTCCTCTTAAACCATTAGGTAGTTTTGGTATGGTAAAAACTTTAAAATTTCATCACTCAGAAATTAATAAACATTTTAGAATGTGTGAATCTGGCATATAGCCATATTAAATGAGGAACTTTTCAAAATTATCAAGACTCCAATTATCAAGTTTGATAAAATTTTCAATTAAAGTGAAAAATATTACATTGGCAGAGAATAATCTTCCTTCAAAATTTTGATGACTGCCTTAATTTTCAAGTTTTTTACAGTATTGATAAACCTATCATAGAGATGTGCAACTGTGGTTTGGGCTGTCCATGGGGGTGGTTGCATGATACTTATTTTTTTATTATTTTTCTTAACATTGTAATTTCTGTTATCTTCTCCTTTACCATAATATAAAAGAAGAAATTGCAGTATTGATACCCCTACCATAAGGGATGTGCAATTGGCAACTTCAGAATATTGGTGTGACTGGGGGTTGGGCTGTCTCTGGTGGGTGGCTCATTCAAAATCATTTTTACATTTTCCATTTCGTTTTCTCTTCCTAGATCATTAAATCAAGGAAGTTCAAGGTTTGGTGGTTAAGAGACCTATAATCAGAGATGGTCACGGCCGCTTTGGAAAATTATTATTTCTGTTAACTTCTCCAAAACCATTATATTGAGGATGTTCAGTCTTTGGCTATTGACATATAGTACATGGACCCCTTGGGGTTGGGCTGTCCCTGGGGGTGGATGATTCTAATCATTTTACTCATTTTTGTTTCTGCTAGCCTTGTATCTCCTCCTCCCTGGGTGTGGACGCTTTTAGTTTTGTGTATTGTAACTTCAGTTATCCTCTCTTAGGCCATCAGAGTCAGAAAGTAAAAACTTTTATGGGATTGGTACACCTTTCATCAGTAACGAATATTTGTGTGCAAGGAGGGGTTGGGTAGGTTAGCAATTGTCACCAGGGGGGCCGGGATGATTCTTTTTTACATGAAGTTAACTTCTTTTTTTAACTGATACACTGTAATTTTTATGCTGTTATTTTAAAGATTAATATAATACTTTAAATTATCACATAAGAATAGGGATTTCTTGAGGGTCATGTTCTCTTTACAATGTGGGATAGGTAATAGCTACCCAGTGACACCATTTATAGTTTCTTTTGGTATTTTAACCAGAAAAGGTCCTTTTTAATTATCACCCCTACTAATGCAGCTATACACTATATTAAGCTATTTAAAGGATCTGAGGGATATATGATACTGTCTCCTGAAATTGTCCCAACAGTGAGATTAACCTAGCTCATATTCAAGTGTAATAAATGGTAGCTATGGATGTATGGATTGAGACTGCGTCTTCTGGGTCTTCTGGAATACGGTCAGATTTTAAAGTTTACATTGACGGGTATCTATTTTACTCTGTTGGAAGACAGTTAAAGATGGAGGATATATCAACAAAGATAATATGAAAGACTGCCAGAAAATATCTCTGGATCCACCCCTGTTTTTTACTTGTAAATATACAAAGTTATGTCCATCGTGTAATGACAAATGTTAGACCATGCATCTATGAATAAGGACTTGACTGTGAAACTGTACCTTAAAGTCTGTAAGAAAAGAGACATATATTCAACCTTTATATATAGAATCTTATAGAATAAAAAGAGTTTGTTTAAAAACATAACGTTACATTTACCTGAAATATCTTCAAATCTGGTTGATACAAAGACTCTGCAGGAAACTGGCGTCTGTCATTGACAAATTTCACAGATTTTGCTCCAGCATCTTCAGCATTCTGGATTAATTCCTAAAATTTGACGATATACAATGTCAGTTTTCTCTTTCTTGTTATAACTATAATAATTCTCACAACTTTATATTTAAGTAGATAAGTGAATGACTAATTTAAAGAATTAAAGTAACAAAAACTCGGCATTGTGGACTAATTCCTAAAAGATTGACAATATACAATATCAGTTTTCTCTTTCTTGTTATAATTATAATAATTCTCATGACTTCATATTTATGTAGACGCATGAACAATTAAAATAAAGAATCAAAGTAACAAAAATTGTACAAAAGCTTAACCTTCAGAATCTGCCCATCATCTGGATATTGGTCTAATACTGCTCTCAGCTGCTCAATTAAAGATGGCGTCCGAATCCCAAAACCACCTAAAATATAAATAATGGTAATGATTTTATTCTACTAATGCCAAGAAGTCTTCAAACAAAACTTCCCAAAGAGACTTCTTCAATAATTTGTACTAGCAGATTATCTCATCAGCATGATGTAGACAATTTTTAAAATAAAATAAGTGACAGTAACGTATAAGGTACCTTCAAATTAAGGTGTATAGATATTCTAATGTTTATTTGCAAAGTTTGTCTGTTTGAAACATTAAAATTACATCATTTGAAAAGATGCCAAATATCTGAGATAAACAAGGAGTGGCGTCAGAACTTTCAATCATTATTATCTTACTTTTATCATGTATGCACTTACGATCAGCCATTTTTGTTTGAAGCAACAGAAGTTAATTATTTTTGTTGTTTATCTTTGGACATCACATCCGCTTGATGCACATGGGACTCAGTATGGCCCAATCTGTAATAACAGAAATTATTTAAATGAACATTATATCTAACTAGAGGATATCAGAGAGGCAATACTGCGTCCAAGTATTGTGCCACCAGCTGAAGCAAGCACATTCGCAGGAAAACAAAAAAAAAAAAAAAACACCACCTCTAGTGTTGTACAAAATGCAGTTAACAAGATTTCTCGACTTTTTTCATTGAAAACTACAATTTATAACAAAATCATGGGGAAAAGTAAAAGATCAAATGTCAAATTTAGGTCACAGGAAGACTGTCAATATATGAGTTCCTATTCAAGTTCAGTAGTAAATGGGTATATCTGTGCCAGTTTTGGAGATGTAAGAGAAGGAAAATTCAAGCAAAAAAGTCCAAAAGTCAATTTCAAGCCCGCACGAAAACGCAGTAGATACTCCAGCCCATCCAGTAGACTACTGCAATCATACCTCAAAAATGCTTCAAATCTGCTTCAATTTGGGAGCTAATTAGCATATTTGAAACATGCTTCTATCATGCTGCTAATCTACTGCATTAATGCTCCTCTCTGCACAAACCTATGTATTTTTTGGAGTAGAATTGCAGTGAGCTATACTGCATTTCTACTGCAAATATGCTCCACACCACTACTGCATTAATTAATGCTTCTTTGCTACTAAGTACTGCATTTTCGTGCAGGAAGGTGTCACGTATGACTTCCTATTCAAGTTCAATAGTAAATAAGGGCATATCTCTGCCAGTTTTGAAGACATACCGGTAAGAGATGAAAAAAATTGCCCAATTCAGTTAAAGGTTCAAGGTCACAGTAAGATTGCCAGTTTATGTCTTCCTATTCAAGATGTATATTGAATATGGGCGTATTTCTGCCAGTTTTGGAGGTATAAGGGACAAAAATCTTACTAAAGTCAGTTTATGTTCAAAAGAAGGTCAAAGGACAATTTCAAGGTTACAGATAGATTGCCAGTATATGACCTCCTATTCAACTTCAATAGTAATTATGACCCTGTCTCTGCCAGTTTGGGAGATATAAGGGACTAAAATGTTGCAAAGTTCAGTTCATGATGAAAAGTAGGTCAAAGGTCAATTTCAAGGTAACAGTGAAATTGCCAGTATATGACTTCCTATTCAACTTCAACAGTAACTATGGGCCTATCTCTGCCAGTTTTTGGAGATATATATATATATATATATATATATATATATATGGGAGTGAAATGTTGCAATTTTGCAATAAACAGTAATATGGCAGTAATTTCGTACAAAAAAATTGAAATAAAGGAAAGGTCATTTTGGTTGAAATCCGTGAAATGGGAGGTGCTCCGAAATCCCAGATGTTTGAATTTCATGAAATAATGTCATTTTTGATCTGAATTTGTCTGCTGCATTAAGCCAGACATTCCAAACTTCATTCATTTTACTTTACTGCACATTTTATTTTCACCACCACAATGTATCTTTAAAACAGTGTAACTCGTAAACCGTATGGAAAAAATTGTGCTTGGGTTTGACATGCTCTATCAAATGCAAAAAAATAAGAGGTCTCTAGCATTAACGGTTCCAGAAACAGAGTTTTCAGTTTCGAGTTTTGGCATTAAAAATGAAAATACACCGATTGACCCAAAACTAATACAGATGAAAGATGACCCTAAGGGTGCATTTTCTATGCCAATAATATTATAGGTTAGGTCTGTTAGTTTCTGAAAGTTGGCACTAATATAAACTTCGTTTTGTTAGATTTAACATTTAATTTTGCCAATTTTGGACAAGGGTGCATTGGTACCCTCCACCAGGGCCGCAGTTATTATTGTGGACATTTTTGCTGAGGCTACCCCACCAGATGACATTGTTATGTGCTCTGCAGGAGCTCAGTGAGAGCTGTTCTTCGCGCCAATGTAATTAAAGTTCGTTGCAACCTGCCTTGTTTTGTCTGTCTGCTAAGGGGTTGTTTTTATTAATTGTCACAGATGAGCAATTAACTGCTTTGATTGCTCTCAAAGGGACTTCACATGGACTTGATAAGTGGCAGTGCCTGAGTAGATATGCAAACTATTACCAGCCATGTAATCATCCTTGAGTTTTCAGCACAGAGTCACAGTACATAGATTAGTCATCTATTTCACCAGAGCCATATCTATTTATATCTAGTGAAAAATCAATATGTGACCCTGGTAGAGGGTAGTATATTGAGACAAATGTGAAAGTAGACCCAAGTACTAACAGAGCCCAACATTCTCATGGATCGAGTTGAGATTTTATGTGACCTACATATACTGTACAAGGGGTGGATACAGGCCAGGGTTCTTGTAGTTAAGGAGGAGAATTTGAAGGGGTAATGGTAACATGGCGGCGGAGCATGAGGACGTTACCTATCGGGACTAAGGTACCATTAAGATCGAGAAGAGCCAAGCGCTAGTTAGGCCGCGACCTTAATATGGAGGGAAGCCACTTCATCCTGTTATGGTCACACGCCTCCCCAGTGAGAGGCCAATACAGGATTAAGCAGTCTTCCTTTCATGTAGATGTAGATCCGCCATATTTAGGTCGCGGCCTCACTAGCACTCGGCTCTTCGCCATCTGAATGCTCCCTAAAACCATGTGAAACTACAGGATCAGAGAGGCGATACCGCCTCCTGTTATAGTACCACCAGCTGGAGTAAGCGCATTCGTATGGAAAACCAAAAAAAAACGGGTCACCACCACCAACAGTGTTGAGCTTGACAAGCTCTATAAAATGCAATAAACAAGAGTTCTCAAAATATGCAAAAAGAAGTGAAAAAACAGCATAACTGTGAAAAATAGTCTGATCAAGCTTATTTTTGAATTAAGCTGTATTTTTGTAATATTGATCTCTCCTGTGATTTTCAAGACAGTTGACATATGGGTTTTCCTTGAAATGTGTTATCAGCGTTGCATATATGTTGAATAAAAAGAAAACCCAGGAGAAATACTGGGCATATCTCTGCCAGATTTGAAGATATGAGGGGCAGAAAATATGCAAAGTGCAGTTCATGGTAAATAAGTAGGTCAAAGGTCAAATTCAAGGTCACAGTAAGATTGCCAATATAAGACTTCTTATTCAAGTTAAATAGTAACTATGGTCATATCTCTGCCAGTTTTCAAGATATAAGGGCTAGAATATTTGCAAAGTTCAGTTCATGGTGAAAAGTAGGTCAAAGGTCAATTTCGAGGTCACAGTAAGATTGCCAATATAAGTTCAACAGTAACTATGGGCGTAATTTTTCCAGTTTTTGAGATATAAAGGAAAGATAATTTGCAATGTTCAGTTCATAGTGAAAAGTAGGTCAAAGATCAATTTCAAGGTCAGAGTAAGATTGCCAATATAAGACTTCTTCTTCAAGTTCAACAGTAACTATGGGCGAATCTTTTCAGGTTAAATTCAAGGTCACAGTAAGATTGCCAATATAAGACTTCTTATTCAAGTTAAATAGTAACTATGGTCATATCTCTGCCAGTTTTCAAGATATAAGGGCTAGAATATTTGCAAAGTTCAGTTCATGGTGCAAAAAAGGTCAAAGGTCAATTTCGAGGTCACAGTAAGATTGCCAATATTAGTTCAACAGTAACTATGGGCGTATCTTTTCCAGTTTTCGAGATATAAAGGATAGATAATTTGCAATGTTCAGTTCATAGTGAAAAGTAGGTCAAAGGTCAATTTCAAGGTCAGAGTAAGATTGCCAATATAAGACTTCTTATTCAAGTTCAACAGTAACTATGGGCGAATCTTTTCCAGTTTTCGAGATATAAAGGATAGAAAATTTGCAAAGTTCAGTTCGTAGTGAAAAGTAGGTCAAAGGTCAATTTCAAGGTCACAGTAAGATAGCCAGTTTATGGCTTCCTATTTAAGTTCAATAGTAAATATGGACGTATCCCTGCCAGTTTTCGAGATATAAGAGACAGCAAATTTGCAAAGTTCAGTTTATGGTGAAAAGTAGGTCAAAAGTCATTTTCAAGGTCACAATAAGATTGCCAGTATATGAAATCTTATTCAAGTTCAATAGTAACTATGGACGTATCTTTGCTAATTTTGGAGTATTTCACATCTTATCTTCACCACTAAGTCTTGCAACGTTGTACTTTTTGATATAGCGCAACTCCTAAAGCATATTGAAAACAAAAAAAAACAAGGCAGCAAAGCTGTCAAATGNGATATCAATGGTATAAACATGTCATATTATACAAAATACTTACTGGCCATTTAGGAAGTCCAGATAAACAATCTGGTATACACGTGTCAGTTGACTGATAATTAGGTAAAATTGAATAGTTTGGATAGAAGAGCGTCATCGCCATGTAAACATTAATTTTAGACGACGCGTGTCACACAGTAGTGATTATGCAATAGCCAGGGCTTAATCACTGTGTTTACCCAGCATGAATAAAGTTAACCTGAACTGATTGTTAATTAATGTGAGATGACACGTGCCAAACAGTGAAATAAACCCGAGAGATTTTTTAAATTAATTTTATTTGATGCTTTTAAGAAAAAAGCTGTTGGTTAAGTTTGGAGTTTAGATCGTAAACATGAACTATTTTTATCGTTTTGAATTACATAGGTTCAGAGTTAAATATCAAACAACGAAAGAGAAACATTTGTTTCAAAATTAAGGCTTATTTCTTTAATAATATTTTACGCGTGTTTTTAAAATTATTCTTCTTCCTGCTTTGTGTGCTGCAGAAACAAGGAATCAGTCTTTCGGCCGGCCACCCTTCGCCTTGTCAAATAAAGACATTTTTGATATTCGACAACGGGCCAGTTCCCCAGGCAACTTTTGCGTTCAGTTAATGGGAAGATTGTTTACTGTTGATGAACGAATTCAAAAGGACAGAAATGTTACGACCCTAGGAAAAGCAAGCAGAAATTCCGGGGTATTTTACCACGAAGACGTACTTACCACGCAAGAGACTCGTACGTTCAACTTGCTTTCAATGTACGTGTTAACAAAAAGGGGGGTGAGCGCACTTCCTCCGTGCGTTTATCTTACTTCCAAAGTGCGTGGCGAGTACTACTACCATACCTGTGAAGTGCGTCACACTAAGACGACGCACGTGCCCAGCACGATAAAAGTGCAGGCGATCCCGAGCAACCACTGCCAGCATTAGCAACTGCAGTAGTCGATGGCGCATCCTTCTTGGAAGTGCCTTTTTGGAAGCCAAAACAGTGAATGTTGAAGAGACTCGGTGCTCCCTTTTATATTATTTTGATTATCCGTGCGTTCCACTTCCGTGCTCATTACGTTTCTCTTACGTTTCTCTTACTTCGTAAGTACGATTTCTGAAAACGTATGCTTCACTAGCAATACACGTATGATTATCTCACTCACTGTGTACGACACAAGTACAGATCGAACGTGCTCCTTACTTCTTCCTACTTCCAAAAAGGCGTACAGACCACTTGCGGGCCCCACGTTTAGAGCACGACACACCTACTCATAAAGTACTTACTACTTACGTCCGCTGCGATTTAATTTTCATCCTGCGACAACGCTACGTCTGACAAGAACTCCGAGGACGCACGATCTCTAAGCACGCACGACGGGTTGTAAGAGAGGCTTTAGCCGGCTAAGCTGACAGTAATCTAGTAAGACTTCCCATAGGGATAGATCGATCTAAAATCAGTGGGAATGGGGTCTAAGACACGATAATTAACGGACGGGGCAGGGCATGGTACTATAGTTAACAGAAATCAAACAGAGCATGGATGACAATGTTATTTTCGTGGTTACCGCGCCAGGCCGTATGAAGTAAGGAGTAAAGAGACTTTTCAGGCGGGCGTGTATTTTCGCATCCCAGACAGTAATTTTTATCATCCGTCACAAATAAAGTTGACAACATAGCAAAAGTCGCAATATTCTTCTCATTCTTAACGTACCTTGCAATCTCTCCTCTGTCACCGTCGAGCTCAAAGTGAAAATACGACGCAACGCAATTCTAGAAACCTTATCTTGAATCGCGTGATAGGGGCGTGTGGACTCGATAGGCCAAACCGAAACCGGGAAATATTAGGGAGAAATATTAGGAATATTAGGATATCAAAACTTATTAAAGCGATACCAGCTCTTCATTTTGGCAGGATGAGTGAAAAGAGAAAAACTGATTATCCTGGGGAAAACGACAATTTTGGCGAGCGTAAAATTAAAATTTTGAGCATATCTATATGTATGTTTTTCATACTCACCTCATTGCTCGGTCATAGGCCAAAGGTACATTAGTCCGAAAATGGGTCAGGAAAAAAAGGGGTGCTGAAGACAGAAACTAAAAATGCCCGTGTTTTGGCACCCGTCTGTTCACTATATCTGTTGCCGAGACTTGGGATTTCGTAATTAAAAACAGCAGTTTTAATTAAAATTAGCAGTGTCTGCAGGCTAATTCCGCTGGTGATAAGAAAACAGAGACCCGAGCTCCCGTGTCTTGACCCCGCCTGTCCTGGCCGGTCTGCAAAACACAACGGGGGAGATTAGATAAATTCAAGCGGTATTGCTATCTCTTTACCATACACAGATATCAAATTAAAATTAATTGAAAACTCTAAATGTTTAAATATTACATACAAAGATGCCATGTCCATCGACCCCCCCCCCCCCCCACACACACACAGTGGTTTATTTAGAGGGGGGTAAGGGGGGGTCCTAACCCCCCCCTCCTTCGATTTCTGGCCCCCCAATAAAATTAGAATTTTGACTAGCTGAATGATAGTCCTAAACCGTACCAAATGGCACCGTTCACCCTCTAGTTAAATACCAAAGATTTCCCAGGCCCCGAACCCCACGCTAAGAGGGGGGGTTGTCTTTGCATCCGCGCCCCCCCCCCTCCCTTTCAAGTAATCCTTCTGTAGATCCGCCCTTGCACACACACACACACACACACACATACACACACACACACACACATTCGAAGACCGGTCGGCCAGGTTAAGCCCAGCTGCAGCGTTCAAAACACGCCTATGGACGTGGCTGTTATCAAACATTTCTCAGAATTAAAAGTGTGATAAATTTCATCCAATTTTGTTAATGTCTCAAGCACTGCCTTATAATACGGTGAAACGAACGTATCTGTACAACAATTTATGATTTTTTTTATTTTGCTTCAAAAAGATTTTTTATAGTAATTTTTTTCGATTTTTTACTCCTTAGTTGCACCTTTCTCTGCTTTTTTAATCAAAGCAACTATTTCCAGCCTTTCGTAAATTTTTCTGTTGTATTCATCTACTTGTTTATTATATTTCCTCATTTATTACATATTTTGTTGCTATTATTTATTTATATATTTGTAGACAGACTATGCTGACTGTAAGATTCAGTGTGTTGTACTCCAATATACAAAATGCGGATTGAGATATTTCTGAAGGATAAAGATTTCTTGAACAATTTTTCGTTATAAAACATTGATTTCTGCCTAACAGACTGTTGTTTACTTTTTATTTTTCTATTTAGAATTGATCCGTCTACCTTGACAATGGCGCTTATTGTGCCTTTTCCATGTACTGTTGCATTGACCATTTTCGGCCTCACTGCGAGGAAAGGATTATTTTGCTATTGTTAATCAATTAGGCCTATTTATTAAAAAAAAAAACGCCGTTACTAATTACTCTTTATTATTTGAAGAAACATAACCTGTCTTATTTACCCTCTGGATGCATTCCACGAGTTTGGAAAATAACAAAATATAAAAAAGAATAAAATAAAAAAAAGAAACAGCACCGACTCCTGACAGCTCTACTAAAGGCTGGGTCGAATCAGCGCTGAACATTTTTAGTTTCGACAAATACCAAAAGATGCCGCAAGAGTCGTTTTATTACTTTTAGGTTATTTAGGCACGAATATAAACATAAATAGTCTAGATGGGATTTTCCTAGACCAGTTTCATGAAATTTGTATCATTTTCTACTTACTCCAGAGCACTCACATAAAATCATTGAATATTTATATTTATATTTGATTTTACTTCTATGGTTGTGGACTGTCTTGAGGCATCCATCATGGCGGTAGAAGAAATGCCAAAACTGAAGTCTGCAATTTGAGCATTACAGTTCTGCATTTTCTAGCCACTTTTTCTCGTTATTTTTTCGAGATAATCTTCCAGGTATGTATTTTCTTGAAGGTATACAATGTCTGGAAATTAGCATAAGTTCTATTTTGTCGTGGCCATAAAACTCCCAATTCGGTATTTGAAGATTTGCAGGACCACCCCTTCTGAAGTTTTGTAGTAGTCCAGCAGACATGGTTACGATATACATAGAACTTTGGCGAAATCTAAACACGCGTGACTATTTTTGTATGATATTAATAACGTACAAAAATTTCTTTACACAACAGGCGTACAACCTCCTATAGGAGAACTTTTATCTTGGTCAACAAAAGGAGGCTTTCTGACAGTAGACGCGCTGTTATCGCCACCCTCCGGAGGTTATCTACCTTTGTTTACAGCTGGAGGTAAGTGTGGACGATAACAAGACCACAGTCGAATCCAGTTACTTACCCTATTTGGGGCCTTAGCAGTAGTTAGGGTGCACACATGATATTTTTCTAAGTGAGCTAGAGACTTGAAATTTGGTGCACAGATAGCCACACATTTGAGTATGAATAATCAATTTAAATTTTTAATCTATCTCATTTAGATCAAAAGTTATTCAAGTTTTAGTAACACCATGTTTGTTCTTTTTTTCAGGCGCCATTTTCAAAAATGAGACAAAAGTTGCCCCCATCATTTTTCATCCCCTTAATATTGTCACAGACATTTGAAATTTGGCACACATTAAGTATAGAAGTTGGGCATTAACCCAAAGTTTGAATTTTGGTTCCAGCATTTTCCTAAGCAGAGTTATGTGCATGTGAATTAAGCAAAATGAAGGATTATTTGACGGTAAATGCTAGAAAATACACATTTCTTAGGTTTTATTAATCAACAAGACTAAAACTCTTGGCAGAATAGTTGTCTTACATATGAGTAT